CGGTTGGCTGAAGGGAGTTTCTGCAGCCAATTGGAAGTCGTGTGAGCTGCATTGGAGTTTGGGTTCCAAAGAACATTCGCAAACCGGAACACTCACTTCTGGGTTTGCGGCGTTCGGGAGCCAAAACATTTGACTTGCAAGGCGTTTGGGATCCAAGGTACGACTGTACTTGAGTTATGATTAAATATTATAAAATATTTTGCAATATTTTTCCAGTGCCGACAAATGCCTCCCTTTTTCAACAGTCCCCCCCCATGCTCTTGTTTATCTATTAATGCACATACCCCTCATTTGCTCTTAACTCTCATTTGCCTTCTGTTATGTACTGAAGTTCTCACCCTGGGCCAGCAGGGGGATACTGTAGATAGTTTTCACTCAGGTCCACATATGCAAATAAGGGATCGAAAGTGACGTTCAGTGATTGGATAGTTACAGAAAATGGTTACTGTTGTGTTCTAGTGGAGCTCTATATAAGCAGGCTGGCTGAACCCTTCAATTCAGTTCAGTTCTGGCCTGTGAATAAACAAGAGCTGTTTGAAGAATCGCTGTGTTGTCTGATATGTTCACCCACAGTTAACACCCTCAATTGCTCTTTGTGCTGTCAGCACACAGTTGAGTCTGACTGGCTATGTGGCAGTGCAAAACCACCCTGTTCATCAGGCAAGCGACAACCAGCTGGGATCACCCATGTGAGTGTTCCAGAAAGGAAGAATACCATCCAAAGAGAAAACTGTGCTGAAGCAACAACCAGGGGGAGTGTTTTTTGGGAGTGAACATCTACCCCAAAATGGAAATGAGAGAATACTGGTGCAGACTTACTTAATAGTTTCAATTCCTAGTGTAAGTGGATGGGGCATGTAGGGCAATGTTTCTGAAGGAAACTTCTGCAAGTCTCCCTTCCAAAAGAAATTTACTTTGATGGACTAGGAAGGAAAGGATCTCCCTTCTTCAAAAATCCTTAGGTTCTCAGCAGTTCAAGCTTTGATCCTTGCAAAAAGAGTTCAGAAACATTTCAGAAGGCTGGATTTTGCTGGGATTCGACCTCATGCCTGTCACCACGCACCATCTCCTCTGGTTTGCCTTGTGGCTTTCTCATTTGTAAGCCTGCCAGCAATGGAAAACAAGGCATTCCTTACTTTCCAAAGAACTCAAGTGCACAAGTCTTTTAATATTTCAACACCTCATCTGCAAAGCCCAGCAGGGAGAGTAGAAAGACAGGCACTGCATGAAACAGAAAGTACACAACATTGCAAGCCTACTCTTTTTGGACACGGTGCTTTGGAACAGGCAGCCAAGAGAGTGGAATTTCTCTACAGCTGCCCACATCTGATCTTACTGGAAGAACAGCATTTGGTTTTCCCCACTGAGAAGAGGCTGGCTCCATTCTGCAATGGAAAATAAATGTATCTTTCCTTCCTCCCCAACACTCCCCACCCCAAAATCCCAGAGATGAAGGCATCCATCACTTCTTCTGTTAGTAAAATGAGTATCCCATGCTGGGTACCAGAAAGGGATAAGAGAGAGAGGGGGGCAGGGGCAGGTTCCTCAAATGACCCCTCAAGTACGCTCTCCTCCAAGTCTAATTTGATCCCCATTCCCAAAGCACCCTTGAAACTGTGAGTAGTCTTACCATTAGGTAAAGTGAGGCAGCTACTGAGAGTTGTTAGGAGACCCCTAAATTACAATTCCCAGTGAGATTTAACAATCCTTCTTTGCAGGAAACTCTAGGAATTGCAGCTCTGTGAGGGGAAATTGGGTCTCCATTCTCCAGGATTCTTTGGCAGTGGCAGAGGAAGGAGGGTGCGGGCCGCGCCGGGTTTCATCATTGAGGGGGGTGACAAAATGACAAAAATATGAGTTTTTTTAAAAAATTACCCCTCCCCTGCTACAGGACACGCACGCCACACCAGGCGCCCGAGTGGCTAGCTACACTGCTGTTCTTTGGGAGAAAAAAAAAGTGCTTTAAATGTATAGTGTGAAGAAGAAGAAGAAGAAGAAGAGTTTGGACTTGATATCCTGCCTTTCACTCCCCTTGTTGTTGTTGTTTAGTCGTGTCCGACTCTTTGTGATCCCATGGACCAGAGCACGCCAGGCACGTCTTCCACTGCCTCCCACAGTTTGGTCAAACTTCACTCCCCTTAAAGAGTCTCAAAGCGGCTAACATTCTCCTTTCCCTTCCTCCCCCACAACAAACACTCTGTGAGGTGAGTGAGGCTAAGAGACTTCAGAGAAGCGTGACTAGCCCAAGGTCACCCAGCAGTTGCATGTGGAGGAGCGGAGACGCGAACCCAGTTCACCAGATTACGAGTCCACTGCTCTTAACCACTACACCACACTGGCTCTCCAAAACTTCCAACTCTCCAAAACTGAGTTGAGCCAAAACTTCCTTTGTAAACTTCACCCACTCTCTCCACCTTTGGGAGTTTTCAGTTCACACGCTCACAAATTGCCAAACAAAAATTGGCTAACATTTCAGTTCTAATCAACACAGAAGAGATGCACAAGAGCAGCACTGGACTGTGGGTTGGTTGCAGAGTTCACATCAAATATAGACTTTTATAGGCCGAGAATGGAAAATCTGAGGTCCTCCGGTCATTGTTGGACTTCAGTTCCCATCAGGCCCAGCCAATGATCAGAGATGGTGTAAGCTGTAGAACAACAAATTACCCAATTCCTGCTGCAGAGGTTATTTTAGTATAAGGACTGCAACCTGGATTTTTCTCATGTGCCTAAATAAAATGGATTCTGGCTACATACTTCTTGACATGTTTTCCTCTAAGACATCAAAAAAGATTGCCAAAGAATTTCCTACCCTTGAGGCAACAGTCAGATATTAACACATCAACAATGATTAAAAGTGCTCCAAGTATTTTTATAATTATAAATTACAGTTACATCATCGTAATAAATTGCATAATTATGTTTCTAAATGTGATAATAGCTATTCATTATTATTATTTTTTTAAATCTATAAGGTAAGGCAAATTTGATGGGCCAGTCAATCAAAGAATTATAAACTAAATAAAAAAAGAGCTGCAACGTAATGTGGAAAGCCGGATTCTACATAAAATGCGATATAACCAACCTTGATTTGTGGAAGTTGCACACCGTATTTATTGAGCCTGTGTACAAAGCTGCTTTTATCTGAATGGCAGTAAAGAGATGCTTAGAGAAATCTGTTCTGAAGTAAACAAGCCCTGAAGGCTGCTCTTGATTTACAAAAAATATTCACTGCAGACATTTGCTTTGCAGGGGGCTTCTGCACTAAATACTTGGAGTGGGAGAAGAGAATGAAATAAAAATAAAAGCCAAGCCACCCTGAAAACTAAAAGTTCTCTTCTGCTTCCTGCAGAGCCCTGAGTCAAGAAAGAGCTTCATACAGAGTTGCCTGAAAGCAAAATAACCTAATCCATCTTCAAAAGGCCACTATTGAGGCAGAACATTTCATCCCTGAACTCTGCCTTATGGTGCTTCATCTTTAAGCTGGACTTGGACCAGAAAGCGTTTCAAACCAAGGACATTCCTCTAATAGTCCGTCCAGTGCAAAATAGGGCACATTAATGCTGTCAGGTCCAGGACAACCAGAGCAAATAAACTGTAGCAAAGTCCTTATTTCTCAGGAAAGGACACAATGGGATGCTTGAGAAAGCTGCATGCATTTTGAACCACAGTCCATTCCCCCCACTTCTGTAATAAGAATAAATTATATGTATTAAATGCATAAATGCATCTGCACCGTATGTTGCCAAAACTTCCCTAAATATCCTTGAATCTCATAGACCACGTTTAATCTGTTTCCAAAATCCAGACAGTCACAATCCAGCAATACAGCCAGTGCTTGTCTCTTCACACACCAGCCATGATTTAAACACACGTGGTTGTTATTAACACACAGAGGAGCATCCCAGATAGGCCCTGAGAGCTCTGACTCAACATTTGTGTTGGTTCAGATTGAAGAAAGCCACAGGTCTTCCTTCTCAAGTGCCAGAAACCACATTCAGCCTTCTGTAAACAAACAGATGGAACACCTGCCTATAAACGCTTGTCCAACTTCCTGAACCAACACACAGTTAGCTTACACAGTACTTTCAACCTGTAACAGCAACTATCACAATCAAGGAACAAACTCCTGGAAAAGCAGGCAAAGAAGGAAAGGGATCAGTCAACTTCTGGCCTTAAATTGTTTATGTACCGCAGAAATGGGCTTTGCTTTCTGGGCCTTGCTTCACCGACAACCAACATCAGGCATATAATTTGGCAGCTACTGGGAATCCTCACCTTCCCTCCCCCAACATTGATTTCTGATGGTTGCAATGGACCCGGAAGCTACCATTAACAACAACAACAATACATTCAGGAATCACCTTGTACATTTGTCTCCAGACGATTTACAAGCATACCGCAAAACAGTTGAACATACTTTCTAAAACCATACAAAAAACAAGGGAAGATAGGTTTAAAAACAATACACAATGAATCCCTAAAGCGAAGACCTTTTCATCCAGTTGGAAAAGCTTGTTGCAACAAGATGTCTTCAATTGTTTCCAGAAAGTACAGAAGGTGCACACCTGTTGTATCTCGACAGGGTTGCTGTTCCATGTTTAGTTTCCCCAAACGCATGGGAAATTGTGTTGGCCCAGGACACTGTGGGAGAAACAAAATGGCAGACGCCAGGGGGCTGCCACTTACAAGAACTTTGTTGCTCGTTGCTATAATAAAAAGATCAGGAAAAGCCTGCTGCTCTACAAGGTGATTCACCCGCTTAGGGAGCGGGGACAGCACAGCAGACACAAGGTCAACAGCATTGTCCTGCAGTGGTCCATGAAGGTGAAAGGGGCAGTGCCCCACCAACCTCAGTTTGTCTTCAGCCAGCCTCCACCTGCCTATTGGGTTTCTATTCCATAGTCTCAGTGTTGCCCTTGCAGAACTCAGCAGGGAGGAGGGTAGGCTATGCCTGTCATGGGGTCTGGTTCAACTTACTGTTGGTCTTCCTTCATTCTTTCTTAGCTCAGTCAGTAGAGCATGAGACTTAATCTCAGGGTTGTAGGTTTGAGCCCCACGTTGGGCAAAAGATTCCTGCATTGCAGGGGGCTGCACTAGAATACCCTTGCAGCTCCTTCCAAATTTACAATTCTATGATTTTGCCCCACCAGCAGCCACTAAACAGAATAGGAGCCAAGTACCCTTGCAGAAGAGACAGAAATTATTCCCGTTGGCTCTTGCTTTCCCATGACATAACTGGATTTTCTATAGTTGTCCTGTCCTCTTATAGCTTTGAAAAATATATATCAACATTGGATTCTGGCGAACGAAGCCAAAGGGTTTCAGTGGGAAAGGCATTAGGGAGAGGAACACAGGAAGTAAGGAAGCAAAAGGAAAGGTAACAGGACACACTTGGTGATTTGGGGATAAGGATTTCCAAAGCGAAGGTTCTTAGCTGCGCAAGGTTACGTTTGGTCATCTGATAACATAGAGGGCACTCAGCAAAAGGGGAAACACAATTCTCAGGAGGATGGAATCTAATTCTGGCACAAAGTCTACTTTGTGACCAGTGTGCCAGTTCTGCTGAACTGCAGCTGTTTAACAGCACACCCCTGTTTTGCAGAGACTGCCCCACGTTTCACTCAAACAGAGTGAATGTTAAATGGAACAGGAACAGACAGCATGGCCCACGGCAAGGACTACTTCAGAAAGCACACCATGAGCTTTAATTGCTTTTGCAGACTTCAACTGCACATGATGCAACCTGGATATTGCTTTCTGTGAACAAACCGGCCACTGGATATGTTGCTTGGTTCTTTTCTCTCTTAAGAATAAAACCTGAAATTATTACTTCTCACATGTAAAAAGCTGAAAGCAGCCTAGTTGTCTTACTGTTGCTTTGCCTTCATGAAAAAAGCACACAGTTCCTTCTAACCTTAGTCCCCATGCGATGTTCAATTCAATTACTCCATTTACTTCAGAAGTTTGTCAGCGTTCTGTGACTGGCAGCTTTACCCCCAAGCAGCTAGAATAGTTGTGAACATTCTGTGACACCACGGCAGCTCAGCCAATGACAAGGGAGATTGCAAGAGGGCAGACATTGTAAGTCTATTACAAGACTCTGCAATATAGGCCTTTCTTCACACCAGAGAGAAGGATATAATGCATTTTCATTTTCCCGGATGACGTTGCCTGGAACTTAAGTGATGCTGTTAGGATCTCGGAAAATTCTTGGCTTTGTTTTCTACAGAGCTGATCAGTCTGCAATAGCCTGGGCAGAGACACACACTGGGCAATAAAAGCAGAGATCTATTTCTGTACAATTCAGGCACTGGAGACATCTCCACCCTGCAGACCTCTCCACTCTTCTTTGGTCCCATATGCCCTGTTCTCTGCATGTGGAGGGAATAAGATGTAATAATGCATACAGCTACCAGTGATTGTTGTGAATGAAAAGGGTGCCACTGCATGGGAGTGGCTGCCAGATATATTTGTGATCAGACATACGCTGTATTTCCCCCCTACAAGGATGGGCTGGAATTGCTCATGTTCAGGCAAAAGGGGCATTGTGAATTGTGTGTGATCTGATAGAAGCATTGAGGGCACAAAGCACATTTGTTTGTATGCATAGGCCTATATCTAAGCTGCACCATTAACCTATGTGGTGAAAAGAATGAGAGGGATGCCACTGCCATAAAGGACTTGAAAGCTTTCTAGATATCTGCCATTCGACTTCTGTTTCAAGTGTTTTTTTTTTCTTTTAATGCAGATACTTTTTTTTTTTAATGGAGGCACAATTCAAATGCCTCTGATCATATTCCGTACTTAGGGTTTGGGGATATTTTAAGAAGTCATAACACATTTTATACATGGAGAACTGTAGCTACTTTCAAAGAGGTTTTTTATATATCTCGCAACTGCCTTTGGTTATGGCAACTTCTCAGTCTCCCAGGACTTGAAATCCATCCCTCTTTTGTACAGCTGGCATTGATTCCTGCTCTTCTTGAAGGAGAGGATAAAGAGCGTCAAAGGAATTGTTTTGAAATAAACCAAAAGTCACGCTACATAAAGGAATTCTGCTTGAGAGACAAATCAAAGGGAGATGAACTGTGGAATTTGCCACAGTGGGACTGTCATAGCTAGCCCACAAGTGCTGCAACGCTCTGAAAGGAGACTAAACACTGGGCCTTTATGTTATGGGACAACTGGCAAGAAGAAGGGGAGGAGGAAGAAGAAGAAGTTGTTACTCTATACAAATAACAGCTCCTGTGATAAAACTGACTGTAGATTGTACCTGCAGGAGTGAGAATTGCTTTATGACTGAACACTCTACTCAATTAAAAATGAAGTCTACTCTGTCTTAGAAAAGTCACTTAAGTAATGCAGGTGGATTGCAAATGGAAAAGAAATCCTGGTAATACTTTAACAATGCTTTTAAGAGTAGCACATGTTCCCAACTCTGCGATCATTCTCCAAAGGAAGTGAGCTTCATACAAGGTGGCAATGTGTTATGATTTTAAACACTTTTTTTAACCCACTGTGGTTTTCCTTGCATTTCCCACTTTGGTGCATTCTGAGTAGTTTCCTTGGAGCAGTCCCTCAAAATCCATTTGGCTTGAATTCCGAGTTCTAGTTCCTCATTAACAGCATTTCAGTAGGAGCAGCTGGCTTCCTCTCCTGTTACCTCTGATTATCTTCTCTGTTGCTATATCAGAAGCATCATCACAGCTGAGACCATAGCCAACCTGGGGTGGCCACAGCAAGAGGCCAATTTTTAAATGTCAAGCCCTTTTCCTAAGTATCCTGAGCACTAAAAACAGCAGATTAAACTGGATTGTTGAAGTCCTACATGAACTCAGGAATGTACAGAACAAGATTTAAACGTAGAAAGTGATTGAAGGGAAGAGAGAAGACTTAAACATGGAAAAGGATGAAAAGCGAGAGTGGTGGAAAGAGGGAAAGGAGAGTTTAGGGCGATTATTTAAACCTAAATTGAAGATCGCTGGAGGAGAGGAAGATCTTCAATGGAGATCAAGAGGCAAGAGTTTCCTCTTCCACAACTCAGCATCAAGATGGCTGGAAGGGAAGAGAAACGTCATGTCTAGATCTCTCCTGAAGATCAGTAGAAGCTTTTACCCCTTCATGTCTTCAGTGTGAAGGATTTGTTTTTCTCCAAGTACGTTTCTCCCTCTTCATCTCACTGTGGAGAGGGGAGGGAGAAGCATGGCTGAAGCTCAAGAGCCAGCATTTCCTCCTCTCCATCCCTGAAGATCAAGATAGAGTGCTGTGTGAGAGAGAAAACATCATGTGCCTGTGCGTGTGTGACGAAACATGTTAGTAAACTAGCCTGTGAGAGAGAGGAGGGCCGCAGGAGACCGTGGCACACTGCAAAATCTGCATGAGGTAGACCCAAGGCAAGCAGTAATATTAATAATAAGCTTGCAAAAAAGAAGAAGTGATGATTGCTGCACAGACATTCCATCCGAATGAAGCTTGGGATTGGCCTCAGCAGCTTCCTGCATCTGTCTATGAAAGCCCACACCACATTTGAGAAGAAGCCCCCTTTGCCGAGCCATGCTATCAAGACCACAGACATCCCTCCCCCGTGAGGATTCACTGAGAGGCAGAGGCTGGATTCTCCTCCTCGCTCCACTGCCGCACCTGACATGTGCTGCCATACACACTGCAATGTCATTTTGCTTCTCATTCCAGGCAGGCTGCATCTGCCCCATTATCTATCTATCATCTATCTATCTATCTATCTATCTATCTATCTATCTATCATCTATCTATCATCTATCTATCTATCTATCTATCTATCTATCTATCTATCTATCTATCATCTATCCATCTATCTATCATCTCTCTCTCTCTCATCTACCTACCTACCTACCTACCTACCTACCTACCTACCTATGTATATCTTTCTGTTCCCAACTCAATCTCACTGGGAGATGATGCCCTCTCAATGGGTGTACCAGAATATCAGGAGAAATGCCTGATTCTCACCCCGTAAGCAACACAGCCAGGAACAAACAAGCATGGAGGAGGAAGGAGATTCATGTTGGTGGTTAATCTCCAGGTCTTCCATCCTGAGACCCTAAGTCTCAAGTGGGGAAACTGCGTCCCTCCCCATGCCGCTGGACTGCAAATCTCATCATCCCTGAACCACTGTCCATGTTGACTGGGGCTGTTGTGAGTTGTGAGTCCACCAACATCCGGGGTGGGGTGGTCACATATTCCCCATCCCTGCATGTTCCCCATCCCTGCCCTAATGGCATCAGAACAAACAGGTATCGTTTCCTGAAGGCAAAACTTGCATGTTGCTCTCTAGCAGCTGGGGATACAAAACAAGGGCAGGATAATCTCCCCAAAAGGGACCTTCCATGTGATTCTTCTGCGAAAGGTTATTCGTTCAGCCAGGCACCTATTCCCGCAGAATGTTCAATCCAGCCCTTGCGAAGGTCCAAACCAAGTACACTTAAATCTTCACAGCCCTCCATATTTGCAGCAATACATACTCAACACAATGACATCACCCCGACCTAGGGCAGGATCGCCCATTGAAGCAATAAGACCAACAGAAAAATACTGGGCAAACATCATTTACCTGAATTTCCCACCGTAATGTCACAGCAAAAGCACCACGCTCTAAAACAGCACCCCTACCTGTGGCATTGGAAAGAGCGAGGGACTCCATCGAACCCCGTGGCGTTTGTTCTGTGGGCGCCAGTTCCTCGGTGAACTTCAGTGCGTTGATGGGATGCCTGGTCCGGCACTGCTGTGCAGATCGACTGCTGTCTTCCTCCTGGTTGTACTTGGAGACCTTGTAACTCCCCCTGGTGTCGCCAAAGCTCTGGTTGGACATGTCACTGTAACTCTCCTGCGAGCGTAGCCTTCCTGAGTAATAATCTTCCCGGCATTCTTGGATGAAGCTGCCGCCGTGTCCCTTCATGGCCAGGGAGGAGCTCCTCTTTGGGTTGCTGAAATGTTTGCCCCACAGCTCCTGCTGGCTGCTTGGGCTCTGCCCTGGGTTGTAGGTAGTCCTGATGTTACACTGGCTGAGGAGCTGCAGAGGGCTTTGCGACT